GCTTTGAAGGGGAGAATATTTGAAGGGAAATCTTTGGCTGGATGGAACAAAAGATACAGTGAACTATTTTCTAGGGCTGTGAGAAGTTTCAATTGCTGATTTGATTTGGCAGAGATTCGGCCCGACTTGGTAGCCAAATCCCTGAATCCAAACTGAATCAGGAGACCCTTCAGTCCCTCTGAATCAAACTGGAACCCTCCAAATCAATTTGGAGAGATTCAGAAAAAATTGGAGATTCAGACATAGACACAGCTTTAAATGTTTTTTCTACATACCTCTATGTAGCAGATGGCTGTGAATGCTGCGATGCTGGGGTGCATGGAGCACCCCACAGGACTGCGGGGGGCTCCCCAGCGCACTCGGCAGCAGACCCAAAAGTGGACCAGAAGCACTTCCAGTCTACTTCAGAGTCTGCCAGAGAGCGTGCAGGGGGGCACCCCACACCCTCCCGGCTCGATGACTGGTGCCTCCTGGGTCTAGCGGGGGAGTACCTGGGGTCCCCCTGTGGTCAATCGCTGAGTTGGGGAGGTGCAGGGGGCCCCCAGCACACTCCCTAGCAGACCTGAAAGTGGACCAGAAGTACTTCCAGTCCACTTCCGGGTTCACTGCCAAGCATGTAGAGGGCCCACCCCCCACCGCACTCCTGTGGGACGCTCCATCCACCCCAGCATCGCAGCGATCATGAGCTGTGCCTGCTACCTCAAGGTACGCAGAAAAGACTTTTAAAGCTGTGTCTATGTCCGAATCACTGATTCTTTGAGATCAGCATCGAATCTTCAGATTCAGATTCGCCTGCTTCGTACACCCCTACTATTTTCTATGAATTAGTAATGAATCTAACTTGCTACCATAGCTAGCAGAACAGTTCATGGGTTTGCCGCTGGAGTGGAGAGCTGGGTTTCCCACTCCCACACTCTTGTCAGCTGGCCGTCACTGCTCTGGCTAAGGAACAGAGGTGCAAGGCCAACCTTGCTCTCTGGAGCAGACAGCACAGCACAGCACAGCACAGCCCAAGGCTGCAAAGCATCCTGGAATGTTGGGGGACTGTAATTTAGCTTGAACCAAGAAGTGGTTTGGGACAGAAATGTCATAAATCGGTTTGACATAAATCAGTTGTCTGATACTACATTTAACCATGTATATCTTAAACCAGTTTTAGCCATTTTGAAACTGGTTTATGTGCACTGAACCTCTGTTCTATTACAGGTTTAAATCAGTTTCTGATCACTTAAACCAGTTTATGTGTAACTTCTGTCCCTAGCATAAGGATTTTGCCAATAAAGCCATATCAGCCATGATCTTTTCACATCCCAAGCTCACATAGCTCTGCCGAGAGAATGCTGTCATGTAGGTAAGGCCTCAGAAGCTCAGGGACTGCATTTGTAACAGCAAAGATAGCAATATTTAGCTACTACTGCTTGAAGTGAAACACTTTGGCATTACTGATCCCAACAACTCACCTTCCAAAGCCAAACAGAAAATTGAATCCACTCACACACGTACACAGATTTAAATTAGGGGTGCACCGATAGAGATTTTTGGGGCCAATACCGATGGCCGATTTTTAACGAGCCATACCGGCTGATACTGATCTGACTGGGAATATGGTAAGTCTATTGTAGGGGAAGGGGCGAGGGGAGAAGGAAGGGGCGTGGTGGGGACAGATTGAGGTCCCAGTGGTAAGGGAGGGAATGGAGTTGGGGCAGGGGCAGGAGCACATGCTGCACAGCCAAGGCAGGATACAAGATGGAGCCATGAATGGCTCATCTGGGGGGCACAGCTGGTTCCTGCTGCTGCATGCATCCCAGGAGGGCAGGGGGGGCATGTGCCCTGGGAGGGCGGGCTGCTGCTGCAGGCTAGGGCTAAGGGTGGCACCAGGCTCTTCCCAGCAGGGGCTGGGCTGGGCTGGGCTGTGCTCAGGGTTAGCAGCAGCGGCGCTGGGAGGGATGCTACCGGGCAAGCTGCAGCCACTCCAAAATTTGCTGCAGTCCGCCTCTCAGCGCTGCTGCTGCCACCTGCTCCGAGTGCAGCCCAACTCGGCCCGCCACCAGGAAGAGCCTAGTGCTGCCCTCGCCCCAGCAGCAGCCTGCCCTCACCCCACACGCAGATCAAGGGGCACACACTCCCTATGCCCTCTCAACCCAGCGTCCCTGGACAAGCTGCTCACAGCTCCATCCCGCACCCCACCCCGGCTATGCATAGCCTGCCCCTGCCCAGCCCCACTCCCTCCTTCACTGCTGCGGCCTTTATCTGCCCTCACTCCCCTGTGCCCCTTCTCTGACAACAGACTTAACAATCTCTCCACAGTGCCAGGCTGCGCTCCTGGCCGCCTGCATGCTGTGCTGTGGCTGCACGCATGCACAGGACATTTATTGGCCACATTATCAGTCTCATCAGCCAAAAAAAGCGGATTGCCGATACTGCCAATTTTTCTTATATCAGTGCCAATCTGACATGGAACCGATGTATCAGTTCACCTCTAATTTAAATTCTTGCTTCTTTCACACAAGAAAAGTGCTGGAAGGGATGATGAAAAAAAAAGGACAGAGTCAAGAGTTCTGTATTGTATTTCTGACCAAGCCACTAATTTCCTGTGTGACCAGGGGCAAGTTATTTAGGGCCAGAGCCTATTTTTCTGTACATGCTAAATGTCATTGATGCAACCTTGTAACTGCAGTTCTAGGTACCTAGGGTGCCTACACCCATGCTCTGATGCATTCTAATTAGAATACACTGAAGCAGATTCGATTAACTGAGTCTAATTAGAACTCTCCAGTATGCTGCAGAATCATGTGTATTCAGTGTCCCATTTTTCAAAAAGGCAGCAGAGTTCTTTAACTAAAGCTTGTTTGACGAGTTTTACTTAAAGTGCCCCCACAGCCATTTTGAAACACAGGATGCTGAATACATGTGAAGCTGTAGTGTTTTAATTAGAATGGCTGTCCAGGAGCAGCTCTAATTAAAACACTCCCCAGCCCCCGAGCACATGTACAGACACTCTTAGAGTCTGTTATTCAACTCAGGATATGTAAACTAGGGTTGAAGCAGAATCAACATAGTGTGACATCAAGACATTTTTAAAGCAAGTCTTTTACAGCCACCTTAGTCTCTGCTGGTGTTCAGTACCAAAGCAGGTTTATCTCCATTCTAAGGCTTCCAATAATCCATGGAAAAAAACCCCTATAAAGCAGTCAAAAAGCTGACTTTAAAAGAGAAAGCAAACAAGAAGGCAGGCAATTCCCTTTGATAAAAGCTCTGTTTCAAATAGATCTTCAGTATGAAAAAGAGAACAATGGCTATCATGCACCTAACTGCCAGGTGCACCTTTGGAAAAAAATCTTTCTCCCATATACTCAATTAAGTTTGTGGTAACAGAGAGTGGGGAAAAGAACCCAGTTAGCCTCACATTCAAGTTACTGGATTCCACTCAAATAATATTCATAAAATTGTTCTATACCCAAATAGCTGACCCACAAAAGATGAATTTTTCTACCAGAATTACGATCACCAAGCATTCACATAACCATGAGCCAGGCCTCAAAAAAATCATGAAACTGCATTAAAAATCATGAGATTTAAAAGAACACTTGGATCTTTTTACTTTGTTTTAATCAGGAAGGTTAGATACTTTCCTTCTTCAAAAAAAAGTCCTCAAAAGTAAGTTGAGATTCCCATGACAATGCACAACTTTGGAATAAAGGCTACTCTGAAAAAACCCCAGCTATGACAACAGCTGGCAACCATAAAAGCAGTTGCAAGGTCTGTGTATGTGTGTCAGTCTGGGACTGTTACCTGTTGAAGACTCATCAGCAACAACAAAAAACGAAAGTCAGGCTGAGGGAGGAGGGATGGATGAACCTGTTAATAAAGAAGAGTGAGTTCATTGCTATTAAGTTTTATACATGCAAGTAATCCCACTGAAGTCAATCACTGTGCTCATGTGAATGGGACTATATTGAAGTTAACAGCACTACAGACGTGCGTAAGGATCGCAGGAACTTTCCCTTTTTGTTTGGCTTGTTTTCTCTCTCTCTCTCTCTTCCAGCACATATTTTTGAAGAAGTCTTCCCAAACAGTAAAAAAGGCACGGCAGAAAGACTGTGAAATCGTGATACAACAGCCAGTTACAACTATATAAAACAATAACTGCAAGAAAGAAAGAAGGAAAGAAACAAACAAACAAAGGGCTAATTCCGTAAAACTAAAATTAAAAATAGCCTCTTTCCTATAAACCCCCCAAAGTATCACTCACCAAACCCATTCATGCAACACAAGATTCAGTCACTCTTGCTGCACATCTGGATTTTAGCAGCAATTGGTTAGTTTCTTTTTATTCTGCCTTCACCTCCTTCAAAAAAAAAAAAAAACTTGGATAGCTATTTTAAAGGACCACTACACAATTACATTTCAAGACATTAGCATGAGCCATTCAGGTTTCCCTTTTAGCATGGTTTCTAGAACCAATATCTATGTGCTGGAAATTTTAAGCAGGAGTCAAAAACGTTAGCAAGCCTAGCACAACCAATAACATTAAAAAACCTCCTAGGTTAACACAGACTACAGACAGAGCAGAACTGGCCAGGAAAGATTCTTTTTAAAACCATCTATAAAATTTAGTCCATTCCGTCACAGACAGAATTTTCCTCCCAGGATTTATTTGTTTAAAATGATTAAGCAAAACCAAAAGAAAAAATAATTGCATCAAATTGGGATTCTGCAATAAATGACTGACCACCCACATAATCACGAAGGAAAGATTCAGACAGCTCTCAGTTTGAACAGTGGTTTGACACACATGCTAAAAAGCCAAGGAGTACACCAGAAGAGACAGAACAACCTGCAAAACTGGAGTCAGAGCTGCCTGTGCTCAGCACAGTAAACGGAGCACGATTACAATTAACACTACCCAAAGAAGCACATTAATTCCAAGCATCTGCAGCCTCTTTAATCTTGGAAGTAGTATCACTAGTAGATTAGGGTTTCAGCACATGCATGCGTACCTGATGTTGCTAAATGAAAAGAAATGCTATCCAGTGTCTCTCTCTCTCTTTCACAGGAGAACAAAAAATCATAAAGATACAAGGGCTGCAAGAGCAGCGAAATACTCTTTCCAATCTTCTTTCCCATCCACTATGGGGGAAAAAAAACCCTTCTGAGAGCAGTAACCAGTGCACCGCACCATCTGCAGACTGATCTACCTTTCTCCCCCAGCTCTGAGCATGCTCTGTCTGTCAGCAGTGTCCTATCGCTCCAGCCAGCTCACCTCAATTTGTTAGCCTCCCAGAGGTCAGCGTTGCATGCAGGATGATTTGCTGCAGTATTCCTGCAAATCCCCAAAGGGCAGCCACACTGAAACAAATACAATGGTGCTGTTTTACAGAGCTGAGCATGTCTGGGAGACAGATAGGAAGCTGTTTTTAGAGAGCTTGCTTTTAGGTAATCATACAATAAAACCCCAAATGCTCCATACAAAGAAACAAAAGAGAGAACAAAATATGTCTATAAGCAGAACAAGAGAAAGCTAATAAAAATGCTGTTAGCAATTCCCTCAGCTTCTTGCAAGAGCTTTTCTAGCCATGATGGTCAGTGAATGGTTTAGTACAGAATGAGGTTGCAAACATACTCCTTCAAAAACACAGGGGATTGAGCCAACTACTTCCTACTATGAAAACAGTTTTAATAGATACAAAAGTCACACAATTAACCTGTAGCTAGAATGGAAACTTTTAACTGGGTCCAAGTTAGACAGGAGTGATCATTTCTCAGTGCAAGCTCAGCTGTGATTTTAGCCAGTGCACCTCACTCCTCCCTCGTTTGCGCAGCTCACTCCCACCAGCACCAAGGTGGTTTAGAAGAGAAACTAAGCACAAGAAAAATAGAAGAGAAACCCAGTCCCCAGTCCTGCAATTAGATCTGAATGCAGGATCAAGCACCCAGTTCCACCAAAATCACTGAAGAAATTGCTTTTGACAGAGAATGGTCCCAATACATAATAGGCCTTTTTAGATTTCTCCCAGTGGTAAGGCAAAAAGGGGTGTAGTGCTATGGGTGGCTATGGCATCTTGCTATGGTTCCAGAAGGCATGAGCCTGAAGCCTCACTTCAGATTTGTGCTGAAGGCTGGCTCCAGTTGTAAATGGGTATCTGAGCATTTGGACTGGGGAGTCAAAAGTAGCTGGCTATGTAGTCATGCTACATGAATCACTCCTCCCCATCTCCCCTTGTGTGTCTGCTACAGAAACTGGTATATTTTAACCTCACCAGCCCAGCCAGATGCAAGGTTCAGACAGAGCTTTGGCTTTGACTTCTGATTTAAGTAAGGCTTCAGTCTTGCAAACTGGCCCAACAGGAACTCTACCTACATGAAGCTCATTCATGGCCTAAATATTTGCAGAACCAAATATTATTCAGATTATCTCCAGATTATCTCCCCCACATTTTTTTCAGGTAAATCTGTAAAGATGAAATGAAACTGATGAATGGAAAATTTCTTCAGCCTCTACATCATGGATATACACATTTTATGTAGAAAAAGGCTTAAGAAACATAAAGTGGTTACTGTCAGATGAGAATATAGGGAAGGTAGGTTTCCCTCTTTCATGACAAGAATTATCCTAGCTCATCAACAGCATGACGCCCCTTTTTCCCCCTAATGACTGCTATTGGCTTCTGGGGAGTGCAGGTTTAGGGTGAGGCTGTTGTTTTCATCTGAGGCTTTGGCCATTGATAAGTAGGGTTGCCAACTGTCCATAAATTTACAAACAGCCCATAAAAAAACTAAACAACCATGACCTTGACTGAAGATCTGTCATTGGAATGAGCCAGGATACAATTTGTTGAAGGACAGACAGAGCAGGGAAGCACCACCTGGTATCAGCTCTTCCCCGCCACCCAGCCACCCTGCTACTACTGCTGCATCCTATCGCTTGCCTGTAACGCTGGTCACCTCATAGGCAGACAGGGTCATGCAGCCCTGGGCAGCAGTGGAGGGAGTGGAGCTGTGGAGCTAGAAGGAGGGAGAGGTAGAGAGTAGGGGGTCTGTGCCAGGCTTGGGGCAGTGGGGCTGGTGGGGCTAAGGCTGGAGAGGGAGCTGGGCAGGGCAGCACAATGTGGGGTCCAGTTGTGGGTATCAGGGCAAGTAGGTGACCCCTGGGGTAGGGGCATCATAGTGTGAAACTGCAATCAAGCAGGGTTCTTAACCCACAAGCATTTTTTTACTGAGAATCTGCAAATCTTTTACTCACAATATGGTTTATTTTTTACTAATGGTTGGTGTTGAACCCCTACATGTGAACTTAGCCTGTATTACTGCCATCCAGGGCCTGACAGAAGATTTACATGATGTAAAATGCATGTCAGTAAAAACCTGTCAGTAATAACATTCGGTTGTCAGTATAAAGTTTGCAAATTATCAGTAAAAAAAATGTTCAGGTTGGCAACCCTGATGGGTTTCAAAACTGACAAGTGCAAGGTGATGCACCTGGGGAGGAAGAACCAGCAGCATACCTACAGGTTGGGGAACCCCCTTCTCGTCAGTGCAGAGGCAGAAAAGGATCTTGGAGCCATCATTGATGCCAAAATGAACATGGGCCAGCAGTGTGGGGATGCAGTCAGGAAGGCCAACCATATCTTGCCGTGCATCCACAGATGCATCTCAAGCAGGTCCAAGGAGGTGATACTCCCCCTCTATGAGACACTGGTCAGGCTGCAGCTGGAGTACTGCATCCAGTTCTGGGCACCGCACTTCAAGAGGGATGTGAACAACATGGAGAGGGTCCAGAGGATTGCCACTCGCATGATCAGGGGGCAGCAGGGCAGGCCCTACGAGGAGGCTAAGGGACCTGAACCTGTTCAGCCTCCACAAGAGAAGGCTGAGGGGGGATCTAGTGGCCTATTACAAACTAGTCAGAGGGGACCAGCAAGCATTGGGGGAATCTCTGTTCCCCCGAGCACTGCCAGGAATGACCAGGAATAACGGTCACAAGCTGGTAGAGGGTAGATTCAGACTAGACATCAAGAGGCGCTACTTCACTGTCAGGGCGGCTAGAATCTGAAACCAACTTCCAAGAGAAGTGGTGCTGGCTCCTACCCTGGGGGGTTTTAAGACAAGGCTAGATGAACACTTTGCCGGGGTCGTTTGACCCCAGTACTTTTTCCTGCCAAGGCAGGGGGTCGGACTTGATGATCTGCTCAGGTCCCTTCCGACCCTACAAACTATGAAACTAAGAAACCCTGCTGATCAGGCTGGGGTTTTTTGATGGAGGTATGCTAATGCTCCTGCTGGTACTAAGAATACCCAATTCCTAACTAGAGGATTATGCTCTTCCACTTAGGGTCATACTGACTGTCAAACTCTCAAAGGAATTGTCCCCCTAGGTCAGACTGACAAGGGCTGTGGTTGCGTTTGCCTTCCTCTGTAGCATGAAGGTTGGTCCTTGACCTAGGATCCCTTGAGCATATATCAACCAGTTCCTTCTTTATAATTGTAGTAGCACGGCATTGTCTCCCTTGCTTCCCCTTCCTTTAACTATGGCACATTGTAGGGTGTTTTGGTGCTTTGGGTATTGTTCCTTATAACTGTAGGTAGGAGTTTGACGTGGTAATTTTGGGGATTGCTTAGGTTAACAATTTCTTGCAAATACAGGGAGCCAGACTCAGTGGCCCAGGACCTCCTAATCCTGTTTGCATTCCTGCACTAAAAATGAGTAGTTAAAATCTGGGATATGCTTTTAAATAGAAAAGGTCTCAGCCACAAAAGAAAAAACTATATGCATTATGACAACTCACCTCTTATTTTAAACATCTACGAGGGGCAGTTCACAGCAGTCAAACAAACACTTCCATGATTTGTTTGGGATTTTTTTCACTCACACTGTAAATAACGAGGGAAAAAGATAAATGCTATCTAGACAGTGGGTCACCGTAATACAGTCTTGCATTCCGGAGCCCGAGCAACTGGAGCTATCACCTATTTGATCAAGTCTACTATAGTTGCCTTTAGGAGCACCATATTAACTTGACTTGATTTGGGCCTCAAACATGCAAATACTTTTGTACACTACAGTCAAACCTAAGGGGATGAACTACTTGTGTGTGCACAGTTATCTGCACAAACATTCATGGGATTAAGGTCTGGGTTTGTTTATAACCCTACAAGACTGAAGTGCAAGTTAACATGAAAAAGCCAAATTAAAACCTAAGCTGCAAGAAATAGAGAAAGCACCCCTAAATTCTTTGCAAAACTGACAAAGGATCTTAACAAAGCAAGACTTTCAAAACTGAGTAAGGTAAAGTGAACAGAAAGGAGTGTTGTTCCTAGTAAGCCAAAGGGTCACAGAAATAAAATATATAATTTATGATTTACTCTAGAGCACTTTTGTTTCTACTTTAGCAGTCCCCACAGAGAATAAGAAGAAAGGATCTAATAAACCTGTGAACATAACCCTGTCCAGAGTCACCTTTTTTGTACTGCATCTTATAAGACCTTGACTTTTCAGGGTCTAAAGATAATAGGGATAGAACGTTGTGAGGAAGGAGGAGTTTTTACTCTGCACTTATGGAGCTTTGAAAGTTTAACCATATATGGAAACAAAACTATTTCAGGTCTAACTCCACTAGCATTGACATAGCTCAATTCAGCATTTCTTGAACATACAAATGCCCCTGGGCCCAGTCTAACCCTTCTGCTGTCAATGAAAGTCTTTGACTTCGGAGGTCCTCAGATCAGACCCTCAATTATTTCTTGGGACCTTTGGTTGTCCACGTACTACAGCACTGTGTTCTTCATCTTAAACAAAATTACCGTTTCACAAAAATTTACTTTGTCTGGAAAAAACACACAAACAAACAAACAAACAAACACTTGTCTTTATGTACAGTTAAGACTCTCTCTTACAAAGAAAAGAGGCATTTCTGTGGATGACAAGAGGCATGATTTTGCTTTCTATAGGATATTGTAAAGTAATGCATATATGATAGCTTGCTTGCGTAGCAAAATACATACCCACAGGAATACTGTCAAGATTGATGTGCCCAAAAATGTACATAAATGCTATTACAGTACCTAGATTTGAAATGTCCTTGCACTGCAGATAAAAAATGGAATTTCATGGAATGTTGGTATCTGTCAACATCAATGTCCTTTTAAAAGGCAGTCGTTCAATTTTCAGAATT